CATCCGAACAACTTCAACATCCATGGGACCAGTACACCCTTCCACTTCTTCATCATTATCATAGTAATTATCATCTTCATCAAACTCATGATCCTCTCCAAGTTGGGATCGCCACTTCTAATGTATGACTGGAGAGTTACGGGATTATTTATAGACATGACAGCTTTCTTCTTTTGGTGTAATCACATCAACAGAAGTATCCTTATTAGGGGATAACTTCTGGACATGAGATTTAAGTCGCTCTTTATAGATTTCTTTATCACGATCATCCTTCTGAGCTTGAGGATAGTGGGTCTTTTAGGAATCCAAACTTGCTGTCTTCTTGGAGTCACATATCGATGACCACCAGCATCGGAATGTATTTTTGAATGGACAGATCTATGATACCATTGTCGGGGCCTTCGTTCATCATATCTTCAATTATGGCCTTTTAAATGTAGACTATCAGAAGGCTCTCCCGACTGTCTTCTTCCGTAATATAGGTATCGACCCATATTAGGACAGAATTCTTTTGGATGTCGGTAATAAGGAGGACGTTTAAAATCCTCTTTATAAGATCTTGCTAAAAAATTATTATTCTGAGAATGAATAGTAATTGAGGAAATAACTTCAGTAACAGATTTCCTCAGTCTTCGTTGTAGATTTCTATCTTTGACAGCCTTCAGTATTTTATATATTTTGGAAGAGGCAGATTCTTCCTTCTTTGGTGGTAGTGGCTGCTGACGTGAAGTCTCCCAAAAAGACTTCTTTAACTAGCCTTTATCATCATTTCTTTTTACCCACTTTAACGGTTCAAAGTCGTTATTGGTTGGTACATTTGCTTCTAATTGCATTGATGACTCTTGAAGGGTATCGAGCACCCATCCATTAGCTCATAAGCGAGCGTTGGCCTTTCTTCTGGCTTTCCTGAAAAGTTTAGCACTTGCATCAAGAACTTTAGCATTGTACTCTTCAGGCACTTATTCCTGAATCATGTTCTGACTGGTTTTATTCACGCCAACAGATTGTAGCTTGGTATCAGGAAGTTTCTTTTGAATCACTGGAGCAGCAACAGGTGTCATTTAGAGTTTTGAAAATACAGAGGCTCTCGTGGGAGTCTTCTCATCAACAACTTCAGAAGTAGGCTTCTTAGTGACACCTTTAGTAGTAGGCATGCTAACAAAATTCTTAGGAATGAACTGTTCGAACTGCATGACTTTGAAAATAGTTCTGAATTGAATAGTTTCTCTAGCATAGCTTGTGTTCATAACAGCTTGAGGGAACTGCACTCTGTCTCCCTCACCCAATTTTACAACCATGAAGGACTTTGTAGGCGTCATGTTATCAACATGTCAACAGAACTTACAGGGATTAGAGTCAACCTAAATTTTGTTGGAAAAGAAAACACAGAACTGTATTGAATAAACATCTATATTTATTTTTAGATGTTTTGTTATTTGAGACTAAATATGAATTATCTTTTTATCCAAAGATGGAGAGAAAATTACTACCCAGCGGAGTCGCTAGAAATCTGTTGGCTCAAGAAAAATGGCACGAATGCACAAATCCCGCTTTACATCCATAGGATTCCATTTCCCTTTAAGTCAGATTGAAATTTACCAGATTTCCCCTGAGGGTAGTATCAGAGTTTAAAGATCTGGGATTCTTACTTCCTATGACCGCAAGCACTCATAGTTAATTACCCCTCTTACTACGTAAGAGAGAACTCTCGATTAATGATGAAATAATTTTAGATAAATTTAGTCTCAATATTGGGGGAAATGGAGATAAACTCGATCAAGATCCCATGGTTCCGTCGTCCCGTGTATACCGTAGGTTTCAGTCTACCAACACAAATAATCATTGATCGTAGTGTCACAAAAATCTGATTAGCAGCCATGGGTTGCCTCCTCTCAGAGATCCCGAGTAGACTAAAGTGGAGATGTGTGAATTTTAGTTTAGTTTAATTTAGGTTGGGGCTTATTGCTCTATTTATGAGTTTCCTAAGAATTTGATTTAGAATGGGGCTTACTGCTCTATTTAGGAGTTGCCCGTTAATTTATTCAGTTTGGGGCTTACGGCTCCAATTAGGAGTTGCCTGTTAATTTATTTAGCTTAGGGTTTATGGCTCCAATTAGGAGTTGCCCGAAGATTTAAATCTAGATTGGGATTTATGACTTTCGTAGAAAGTAACCCAAGTATTTGATTTAAATTGGAACTTATGGCTTTCGTAGAAAGTAGCCCGAAGGTGGGCCTTACAACCTAACCCTATAGGCTAGGATGCCCATAGGTTTGAATTAGATTATTTGGGTTTTAGGTTCATTTCAATTTATTTAGTAATTTTCCTAAAACGTTGCAGCTTACGACTTCAATTAGAAGTTGCCCAAAAATGGGTTTTACAACCTAATCCTATAGAATAGGATGCCTAAGCTATGGTTTTAATTATTTAGAAATATGATCATTCATTTAGAAGTTCCTTAATATACAGGTCTTACTACTTCTCTTAGAAGTAGCCCAAATGGCGGGTCTTACAACTTAGTCATGTAGTCTAAGATGCCCATGTGAGGGGTCTAGGTTTGTGTTATCACCTAAACATTTCTCTCAAAGGTCGGACTTACGGCTTCTACTAGAAGTGGCTGGTGATTTTAATTGGAGGTCAGTAGTTAGGTCAATTTTACCTAAAAACTTTCCCCTAAGATCGGGCTTACTGAATTTTGGGTTTGTAAGTGCAATAACTACTAATATTGATAGGAATTCTAGAGAGAGAAGCTCCAGGAATTCTAGGGAGAGAAGTCATCGTGTTCAAAAAAATTTTTTCCTGGGTTTGGTTTCGTTCTTCACAGAATTGGATTCTCAAGGGTCTATGGATGGCCACCGGCCATCTTCGGCGGTGGGAGGTATAGGAATTGCTAAAGTTAGAGGATATGTTTTGTCAATGGAGAAGGATGGTCGCCGTTCGTCTTCGATTTTGACAGGTGGTAAGGTTGATGATGTGGTTTCTTGTGATCAAGATTTGGGAGGGATTGCTTGTAAGAAGCCTGGAGATGGTGCTTTCATTCATCCTTTAGGACCGTTGGTGATTAAGGAGAATGGTTTGGAAACGGCCAAGAAGATTTTGATCATCGTCGGTAAGGGAAAGGCGATTGTTGAAGAAGAAGAAGTTGTTTCTCCTGTTTTAGCTAGTAAAGTTTCTGATCAGAATTCTATTGATCCAGAGGTGACTTCTACAGAAATGAACATTTATGTTAACAGGTTCAGCAATTCAAATGCAATCTCTGGTTTAGGCCATGGGATAAATGCGAATGTTTGTAATTCTGTTAACAATGGTGTTCAATTCTTATCAAGCTCTGTTTCTGATGGTACTAAGTTGGTGGATATGGATACTGGTGGAATGCCTATTAAGAAATTGGCCGGGGTGGATGATAATCCATGGAAGAGGAAGCCATATATCATGTTGGATTTTAATGAGGAGGATTTGGTCTTCTCGGAAGATGGCAAATCTGTGAAATTGGTAGAAGAAAGAGAGGTTTCTAATTCTCATAAGCTCAGGAACTCTTTGGTGGTCAAGGTTTTTGGGAAGGAAGTTCCCCCTCATGTTGTTGCTTGGGAATTAAGGAGGCAGTGGAAGATGTTTGGTAATTTTTACTTAACAATCTTGGGGAAAGGATGGTTTCTGTGTTCCTTTAAGTCCAATGAGATGATGGAAGGTGTTTTATCGGGAGGGCCTTGGTTTGTCAATGGCTTTATTGTGGGGATGGAAAAGTGGTCTTTAGAATTTTCCACTCTTCTTTGAAAGGTTTAACCTCACCAATTTGGATCAGAATGCCTCACTTGCCCTTGCAATGTTGGGATGAAGTGAATGTGGCTCGTATTGCTTCTTCCATTGGTAAACCGTTGATGATGGATGATAATATGTTTCAGTGGGGGAAAAGAGAATTTGCCAAAGTTTGTGTGAGAGTTAAGATGGATCAGTGTCTTCCTCCAGGAGAATGGGTTGAAAGCATCTCCGGGAAATTCTTTCAAAGATTTGAGTATGAGAAAATCTGGACTCTTTGCTATGGATGTGGAATGGTGGGACATCTTAAATCTGAATGTAAATTGAAGACTGATGGAAAATCTGGCAAGGAGATGTACGAAAGTGAGTCTACGGAAGACAAGGAGGTGGAAAAGGTTCATGAAGAGATTACTGATCACTCTTATGGTCCTTGGATCATGGTGAAGAAGAAAATTAACAAAAGACTTGTTGCTCAGAAGGAAAAAACGAAATCTGTAAAGAAACAGTGGATGAAAGCGGGTGGTATTCAGGATGAAGTGGCTGGAACTACTATTAAAGGTGTTGATACTGTTGACAGGGTGCTTGAAGTTGCTGTAAGTAATCATTTAGAAGAAGGGGAGATTCCCGGTGAAGAGGATGTATCAGGGAGGGTCCCTGGCTGTATGGAAAATTCTGCTTTGGAGGTTGTTGATTCTATTAATGCTCCTCCGGTGATTGATGGCATGATTTCTAATGGTAATACCGCTTTGTTTCCTGTAATTTTGAATAAATTTGATTTGTTGGATGGGATGTAAAATGATGGAATAGGGAATGTTTGCCTTAAAGCCAATTCTGGTGGTTGTGGGTATGTTAACAATGAGGGAATTCCTCTTATTGTTGGAAGTCCAGACGGTATGGGAAGTGTCAAGGGCCATGAAGGGGGCACGTATGCTGTGAGAAGTGAGAAGGAGATTGTTTCTAATGGAGAAATGGTGAAGTGTAAGCTTGCTAAAGAACTTAGAGCATTGGGCCCTATTAAAAGCAGTTCTAGAGGTAGAAATGTGGATGGAGGTATGAAGAAAAGAGTTGGGGGCTCTTCCCCCAGAGTTTCTTAATGGAATCCATTGTTTTTTGGAGCTGTAGGGGGACCAAAAAAAAGGAGGCCTCTCTTTATTTAAAGGAAGTTATCAAAGACTACAAAGTGTTCTTTGTTGGGTTGATTGAAACTAAAATTTCTTCTATGGATAGAGACTCGTTTGTAAGGTTGATGGGGCATGGTTGGGACTTTTTCCTGCTTTCCTCTGAAGGGCTTTCTGGTGGTATTATTGTTATTTGGAGATCGAATTTGGCGACATTTTCTGTTCTGAAAACTTCAGATCAATGTGTCATTGGTGATCTCAATGTTTTCAATAGAGGAGTTTGGATGATTACTACTGTTTATGCTAGCAAGGAGACTCTTAAAAGGAGGTGTCTTTGGGATTTTGTTCAGGAGGCTTCCCATAGAGATATTCCTTCTATTGTTGGAGGGGATTTTAATTGCATTTTGGCTAAAGAAGATAAAAAGGGGGGTATGAGGTTCAAATTCAATCAAGGGGGTTTGGATATGGTGAAGTTTATGAATGAGAATGATTATCATGAAGTTGGGTTTGTTGGACCGAGGTTCACTTGGTGTAACAACAAAAGTGGAGGAGATCAGATTCTGGAAAGACTTGATAGGTGTATTCTTAACACCTTGGCCATCAACAAAATCCAAATTACTTTGGTTAGACACCTTGCCAAAGTTGCTTCGGACCATTGTCTGATTGTTCTAAAGATGTTTGAGTCAGCTTGTAAAGGAAGAAGTGGGTTTAAGTTTGACGACACTTGGCTATCCTTCAAGACTGTTGAGCATATTGTTTCTAGTAGGTGGAAGAGACCTTTCTTTGGAGATGACATGGAGATTCTTAACAAAAAATGCTAAAGAACATTAAAAGATTTATTTTACTAGAGCAAGGCTAGACTGAAGAATTTCTCCTTGGAGAAAGACAGATTGAAAGCTGAGATTATTAACTTGCAAGAAGAAGAATCAATACACGGTTGGTTGACTGAGGAGAAGCTTTGGTTACTTAAAGCTAAAGTTAAAGAGCTTAATATTATTCTTAATAATCTAAATACGTGGTCGAAGCAAAGGGCAAAAGCTAAGTGGATTAAAGATGGTGATGCAAATACCAAATTCTTCCATTCCTTTGCTAACTCTAGGAGGAATGTTAATTGGATTTCTCAAGTTAAGGACTCTAATGGGGTAATGACTGAAGACCCAAAAGAGGTTGAGGAGGTGTTCAAGAGGTTTTTTCAGGGGGAGTGGAAATCCAGGATCTGCAGCTTTGCTGGATGGCCAAAATCGTGGACATTGTTGCAAGACTGTGATAAGGAATTGTTGATTAAGGATCTGGATGAAGCTGAAATTAAAGAAGTTATAATGAATCTGGGCAGTAATAAATTTCGAGCTTTGATGGAATCACTTATTCCTTCTTCAAAGCTTTTTGGAATATTATTAGAGTGGATGTTGTGAGAGCTGCACAGCAGTTTTTTGTCACTGGTTTAATGAATAAGGAATGGAAAGACACCTTAGTTGTGCTCATTCCTAAATCTTCTAATCCCTGCACTCCATCGGCTTACCATCCCATTAGCTTATGTAATTCAATTTATAAAATTATTGCTAATGTTTTGCTTAACATAATGTTGGGAGTCATGGCTAGGATCATTTCTGAAGAACAAGCGGCTTTTGTGAGGGGAAGGTCAATATCTGATCATCTTCTTCTGGCTCAGGAGGTTTTTAACAAACTGAGATTTTCCAAGTCATGCAATTGGTTCTTGGCTATTAAAGTGGACATGGAGCAAGCATATGATAGCATGTACTGGTCTACTTTGGAGAGAATGATGTTGGAATTAGGATTCCCTTCCAGGTTTGTTCATTTGGTGATGGAGTGTATCACAGATCCAAGGTATTCTATTATGATCAATGGTTCGAACTCTAGTTGGATTGAGGGAAAGAGTGGTTTTCGTCAAGGATGTCCTCTATCACCGTTTCTTTTTATTCTTTGCTCCCAACTGCTTTCTAACGCCTTTCATAGCAGGGATTCTGATGTGGGTATTAGGATCTCTTCTAATTCCCAGAAGATATCTCACCTTTTATTTGCAGATGATATATTGCTATTTTTGGAAGCAAAAATGAATGTCATGAAGAAGGTTAGAGAGATTATGGAGAATTATTGTAAGTGGACTGGTCAAAACATTAATTACCACAAATCTTCCTTGGTTTGTGGTAGTTCGGTGGACAGGAGGAGAAGGGTGCAGATTTCTAGGTTTATGGGTATTAAGTTGGTTGATGAGTTTGAGTACTTGGGCATCAAATTGGCATTGAGACATTTAAGGAAGAAGGACTTTCAAGTTTTATTGGACAAATCTAGGAAAAGAATTAATGCTTGGGGGAATAAATATGTCTCCATAACCGGTAGACTGGTTTTAATTAAATCAGTTTATCTTTCTCTTCCGGTTTTTGTCATGTCTCACTCTCTTATTCTGATGAAGACGTTGATGGAATTTGAGAAAATCTGTAGAGATTTTATCTGGAACAAATTTGATGGCAAGAGGTGAATTCATTATGTAGCATGGGAACAAATTTGTAAGCCAAAACAGTTTGGTGGTTGGGATGTACATTCTGTAGTGGCTAGAAGGAATGCCATGAGAGCCAAATTTGCTTGGAAATTGATTGATAAACCCGATTCTCTGTTGAGCAAACATCTTAATGCTAAATATGGAGTTAATTGGTGGAGTTATGGGTTGAATAGAAGTAGTTCCTCTACTTGGAAGATCATGATCTCTGGATGGAATGCACTAAAAGATCATGTTAGATGGAGAATTGGTGATGGTTCTAAAATCAAAGTGCTAGATATTTGGATTTTAGATAAGTCTTTACTCAAATGGCCAACATTTGTGGGTTATTTTGAGGATGAGGATGTTTCTCTGGATTATTTCATTACTGATGGCTGTTGGGACCATGAGAAACTTTTGCTGTTCTTTGGGACATATCTTATAGATCTCATTTGTGAAGTCAAGATTTATCCCTATTTGCATGAGGATTGCATGGAATTGAAATATAAGATGTATGGTAAGTCCTTATCTGCTTTAATTATGCAAGATAACTTTAAAAACCTGGAAGATGTGGTTCCATTCAGATGGGTTTATAAACTGGGTTTAAATGCAAGATTGGAGGTCTTTATTTGGAGGCTGTTTATGGATGCTCTTCCTTTAGGTGCTTTCCTGTTCAGGAGCAAACTTTTTGAAGATTCTCTCTGCCCAATGGGATGTGGAGTTGTGGAAGATATCAATCATATTTCATCCAGCTGTTGTAAACTCAGGAAGGTGCTGAATGTGCTGAGAGGCTGGGGATTCCAGGTTCCCGTTTTCAGTGGATGGGCTTATTGTTTGGGTAGTCTTCAGAGGCTCAAAGATGGTAATATGATGTTGGTAAAGTTGTATTTTACTGTTATTTGGTTTGTTTGGAATCATAGAAAAAAATTTAAGCATGGGAATCCAAAAGTTAGTGAGGTGTTTATTGCTACTTCAATTCTTAGCTTTATCAGCCAAGATAAACAGCAACTTGTTCAATCGAAAAACTGGGTTGTCAATCAGTCCCATGGGCTGTCTTCAGTTAAATGGCAACCTCCTCCTCTCGATTGGATTAAGATTAATCTTGATGCTTCTCTTAAAGGGAATTATGAGGCAGGTATTGGTGGTATTGTAAAGGAAGATTTCTTCTAGCTTTTGGTATGAAGAAAACACATTGGGACATTGCCCAGTTGGAGTTATCCGCTAATTCAGCTCTTACAGAAATTCTACATGGCAGATTTGATAATGTTGGAGGCATTATAGTAGAAGGTGGCAATAAAAATGTTATTGATATTCTTCACAAAGTGCACAGTATACCGAAGAATATGGATATGAAATTGGATATTGAAGATTCTTCTTTTCTTAATAAGGTAAATACTGTGATTTTTCATTGGGTCAATCGTAGTTGTAATAGATTAGCCGATTTCTGTGATAATCATGCTCTTTTTTTTTTATTTTCTTTGGGACTTGTTTTGTGAGA